TCCTTAAGGAGTAAATAAAAGGATTTAACATTGGGGCAACAGAGGTATTGAGCATAGCTATGCCCTTGGTCAATGCTTCTCCTTCTTTGGCTGAAGTTTTGACATACATGAAAATGCAGCTTCCATAAGAAATGGAGACAACAATCATGTGTGAGGAGCAAGTGGAAAAGGCCTTTTTTCTTTGCTCAGCAGAGGGGATTCTCAGAATTGTCTTAATGATGAACACATAGGACAGAATCACTAATGTTAAGGTTGTAATGAGAGTGAATATTGCCAGGATAAATGCCAAGAGCTCTAGTAAGGACGTGTCTGTGCAGGAGATCAGAAGCATAGGAGAGGAGTCACAGGTGAAGTGGTCAATGATGTTGGAGTCACAGAAATCCAGTTGTAGTCCCATGATCACAGGTGGAAAGATGATGAGGAAGCCAGCCAGCCAAGAACCAAGGACAAGTAGGGTGCAGATCCTGCTGTTCATTATTGTTGTGTAGTGCAGAGGCTTGCAGATAGCCACATAACGGTCATAGGACATGGCAGTCAAAAGGAAAAATTCTGTTGAGCCAAGCAATATGAAGAAAAACACCTGGGCCATGCAAGAATTGTAGGAAATGGTCTTATCCCCTGTTGTTATGCTGACCAGGTATCTAGGAATAGAAACTGTGGTGAACGAGATTTCTAGGAAAGAGAAATTCCTGAGGAAGAAATACATGGGTGTTTTTAGGTGCAAGTCTACCAGAGTGAGGGTGATAATTGTTAAGTTTCCAGTAATGCTTAGTATGTAGGTGAAAAGTAGAAAGAGAAAAATGAAAATATTGAGCTTTGGGTCATCTGTTAATCCCAGAAGAATGAACTCAGTTGCAGATGTATGGTTTTTCATTTCCTATTGTTCCTTTCTTCCAGGTCTAAAGATGCAAATAAAAACCAATTATTTAATAAGTTTAGGACAGACTTTTGATCACATTTTCTGAGTCAGAAAACATAAAAGGCCTGTAAAGAAACACTAAATTAACCATCAGGATATACTACCTTTGGGGACTGAGGTTGTAGCTCAGTGGTAGAGCACTGGGATGGATCATCAGCACCACAGAAAAAATAAACAAACAAAGGTACTGTGTTCATCCACAACCAAACAGATATTTGAAAAAGATGTACTAAATTTGGAAAGTATACATAAACCACACCAAAATAATCTATGTCTGTTACCTTCAGTGTACATCTCCATCCATTTAATATCAAGTTAGTCTCTTAATAGGTTCAATAAGTGCATCTGCATAAGAAAATTATACTGTCAAATGTGCCCTACWTTCCTTTAAATATCTGACCATATGCGTGTAAAAACTAAGTAGAAAATCTTAAAATATAAAATATTTGTTGTTAAAATACTGTTCCAATGAGCACATGTTCTGAATTTCTGAACGGGAAACCTTTTGAAGTGTGTTTCTTAATTTTCCATGATACTCAGTGTCATTCTTACTGGTATGGAGAATTAATAATTTCACGTGAATCAGGACAATGAAAAGTATTATTTACATAATTCTAAAGAAGCAAACTCAGAATTTTACAATGTATTAAAATTTTTCCTTTTTGAATTCAATAATAATTTATCACTGTATAGATGAGTTTCTGGGCRCCAAAGTAAAGTGATGTAGGTTATACAATAATTAGAAAGGAAAAAAAAAACATAAATGAAGCAAGAAATTTAAAAATGCACTTACATTGAGATAATCCCACATGGTAGCAGTTTAATGCTGAAACCCATATGCTAGGTTACTTTTCCTTGAGTGACAATGTTTGATGCTTTGCTTTCAGATCTTTATATACACTTCTCAA